GTCTCGTGTTTTCCCCTACACTTCTTTCGTGCTCTACCGCTTCCTGCGTGCTTTACAACAGAACAGAGCACAGTCGGGGCTTCTTTATTTGTTAAATAATCAGAAATAAAACCTATAACAAAAATAGTAAGTACAGTTCGAATAAAATTAACAATATCTACAAAAACAATGAGTAACTGTCTACAAATAGTTTAAAAGGTATGTTTTAAGGCTCCTTTTAAAACTCTAAGTAGAGTTCTACTTGCGCAAGGCAAGTGGCAGATTGTTCCATGATTCGGTTCTGGGCATACACTAAATGCCATGTCGCCATAACTTTTTGTGAAAACAGTTCATTGGTGACAGATCTCAAAGTTCCAGAGTGAGAATGACAGTAACGCCTATCAACCAAATAGCTAAGAGATAAAACATTAAGCGAGTTATGAAGTAAGCGACTTATAGCCGTTCGTCCAAAATTCTCGATGATAACATTTCAATTGTTTTATTGATATTCATGTTTCCAAATTTCCTCTTTTGGCAGGATAATTATTCGTTTCTCATAATTATTATCATGTCTACATTCTCTTGCTGTTTTAGAATACCCTTCTTTTATTATCAGCTTCCTCTGCAATGCAGTTTACCTTCATCATAGAGCTCTTATACAAAATAACATGGGACCTTAAAACGTTGCAAGTTTAGAAATCTAACACAGTTTTTTATTTCAATAGGCAGCATATATTGGTTGAGTATTTCTTCCTGATTGTTATTATTACCACCGTGTTGCATTGTTTCAACAGCGCAGTTGTATGTGACGACGTCAAGTTCATGTTCTAATCTTTTAACCACCCGGTCCAGTACGAGTGGAATAATATATTCAAACAAACATGGATCCTACAGTAATTCCATGACATGCCATTGGTCTCTATCTTCGAACAGCAACTTGGAACTCATTTTCTTCAGACTAAGTACCGAATCAGGTTACGATTTCGTTAATGTGTATGATGGCGGGTCTTCCTCCGATCCTCTAATTGGACGGTATCAAGGAACGTCCATGCCTGGAACCATTACAAGTTCGTCCAACCAGCTTTATATCACTTTCACAAGCGATGGCTCAAGCACGCGCTCTGGATTTGCAGCAAGTTATCACGGTAAATAGAAAAAAAAATAATGTCACTGTAACAGTGAGGTTTGCTGTTACCGTCACTGGATAGAGTTTTACTAAGAGAGTACGAAGGGTAAGACAGTGAATCCCTCAGATAGGCCTTATTCACATGGTAATCCCTCCCAGAATTTTTAGCGGAGATTGTGCGCACCGAAGGTGAGCGGGTGGCGCCCAATACTTAAGGGAATTTGGTAACCTACCGAACTAAAATATTTTAGTTATCCCTTGATTGTTCGGACATTCATCCGTACGTACGTACGTAAGCTACCTGCGCTGCCTTCGCTTGCGAAAATTTACGCGCTTTGAAAGTCGTGTTATCGTCCATAAAGCAGAAAATTAGCTCTTTTTACATTTCTATGGAAAGTAGACATTCCAAATAATGTTTAAGAGGCACCAAAGAAGAAAACCATGGGGTGGAGAGTCATAAATACCTTGCTGGAGAAAATACCAGGATAATTTCTCTTTCCTTCGATAGCCGCAAACACATGACAATCAAAGTGCTTTCGGGTGTGCTTTGAATACAGATATAGATCGTGAATTTAATGCAGCTTTAGGACGTCAAACAACAACAACAACAACAACAACAACAACAATGATAGTAATGCGAAGTATTGCTTCGAAGTAACAGTCGATAAAAATGACTGCCAAACCATCGCACAAAACTAATATTCAAATTAAGCTTTAGCGTGAATAATCAACTTGAACACGCAAAACTGAACTGAATCATGCAAAACCGCAAGTCTTAAACTTTGAACGTTTTCTGCTTTTAAATGCTTTTCTTGACTTTAACTATAATAATAATAATAATGATAATAATAATAATATATCTTTGAGCATTTCTTTCATTTTGCCATCTATTGTTGAGCATTTTATACTTTAAAAGCAAACAAGATTGCCTATTTGACACTCCAATTCAGATTTTTATTGTTTTGCACTATTTAGAAAAATTTAACAGTACTTACAGAAATTACATTAATTAAAAAGAGAAAAGAAATCTAACAGTAACCAACCAAAATGAAATGTGTTCAGTGACCAAAATAGCATAGGTTTTCGTGTTGGTCACGTACTTCATGTACTTTTTCTCGGCAATTTTTTTCATCGATGTTACTATTTTTTACAACATGATTGCATCATCATCATCATTCATCATCATTTTATTTCTTAATAAAACTTACATTTTACGGTTGGACTGGCCCGCGGATAGCTATGCTAATCTAGGCGGCCAGTCTATCAATAGTTACAAATGATTTATTATTATTATTACTTTTATTACTCTTATTATTACTATGATAAACAGAGAAAAATAGAAAGTTCGAAAAAAAAAGTTGCTATTTTTTCTCGTAAAATATAGAAAAAATCTAATAATTCTTCTGAAGATGATTTTATAATTCCTTTAAGCTACTAAATTTCGATCTCAAGTGTAATCTCACTTGGAACCCAAAAAGCTAGAGTCGCACTCGCCTATCGTCTCGTGCGACTCTTACGATTCTTTCGTGATTAGCAACCTCCCGCGTGCATCCATAACTCGATAGTTGCACGTTGCACCTTTACCATTTCTTAAATATTGGATATGGTTTCCAGTTCTCCCGTGGATAATGTTACAACGCGCGTTGTTTGAATGTTTCCATGGAGGATAAAAATGCTTTTAAGCCGCCTTGTCAGTCCACCGGAGTATAGTTTCCGTCAGAGGATTTGCTGTATATTTCTAGACCTTCTTCGGGTTTCTGAAACTGGGATACGTCTAAAAATAATTTGAAAGAGATTACCTTTGGAATAAGGCTTATATAATTGCATACTTCTTACTAACCGGGTTACCGACCGCGTTTTTTCCCTTTCGATCCAAAACCCACGTGATTCGCGCTTGCGCCATAAATGGAAGAGGAAAAAGGAAGATCCATGACCTACAGTGCGAAGCGAGAGGAAAAGCTTGGTACGATATATATGTGTTTCCTGCGGGCTCGGGGAATCATTAAAGTCAAACAGAAAGGATTGAAAAGACTGACTTAGGAGAGGGTTCCCAATAGGTTTGGCGGGATGCGGGATTTGGCTTTTTTTCGCCGTGATATTTGGGATTTGAGCTGAAAACAGGGGCGGGAAGCGAGCGGGAGCGGGATTTCGTGTTTTTGTGGGGTTGGGATGCGGGATTCGCAAGGGGAACAGAGCGGGATACGGGATTTCAATTCTTACGTGACTTCATAAATTGTTATTGACCAGCGCAAAAACCACAAGCTGGCAGAAACGAACCGTATAGCTGCGTCAGGTTTCAAGTAATGAATAGCAACCGCTCTGTACCCTGTCAGGTTCTGTTAAACGTATCGTCCATTTCCGACATTTTCGATGCTTGCGTCTGTAACCTTGACCTCCAGATCCTTTCTAGTTTTTCTAGTCTTTCGACCTTTGCCAAAGCGCTTAGCTTGTTTTGGCCAGGATGGCCACATCGGATGGTGGTGATAGGGATTTACCGTACGAAGTATGCGACATTACGAATTGCATCATAATTAAATTAATCAATAATTTAAAAAAATAATAATTAACGCAGAAACGTCCTTGAAAAGTTGGCGGGATCGGGATTTCCAGGCAAAAAAGGGCGGGATGGTGGGACTAACAGGAAAAAATGGGCGGGAAAGCGGGATCTGAGAACCCTATTGTGGACCCTCTGAGGATGGCTATTCCAATAGCCATCGCAACAAGTTGTTGGGAGCGGGGCTAAGGGGGGTGGGGGCATTTAGAAGAATAGGAGTGCTCAACGGGAAAATGAAGCAAAATCAAATCATTACGATATTTTATTATATGGCTTTGGCTTGTGGCCGATATAACGCGCGCTCTGATTAGCTAAGAGCGAGATCTGAGCGGTCATTATGTAGCCGTAATGCCCACGGGCCGATTACGGATTATGCCGAATTAGGAAGAACCCGGCTCTGAAAATTCAAGCGCATTGAAACGATGAAAGCCGATTAAAAACAGTAAGAGAGAGTAGATTTAATTCCGAGTAGCTAAAAGTTTAGCGATTTTATATAGAAGTCGTTTTTGACTTACCAGCCGATAACCTTGGCGGGCACTAGTGAAAAACAATCAAAGTTTGCCGAAATCGCTAATAAGTGAAAAACACCATCGGCAGATCTGTCATGCAACCTGAGCAGAACACCACGAAGAAACTTATAAGTTATCATCTTAGACACAACAATTACTGAAATATTGAACACCGTCACAGTTCTCATCAAATAGATGCCCTCGCTTTGACACAAGCAAGTGTAAATCAGCTTCCAGGATCATCAGATGTAAACAATCGGGCAGCTTCTGTCGGTAGCCGTGTTTCTGATAACTGCAGCAAGTTTTAGACGTTCACAAGGCTTGAAAAGTTCATCCATAAATCCCAAAATGAAGAAGGCGAAGAAATGTTGTCGAAAGCGAAAGTGAAGATCGAGTTAAGTTTATTCTGAGCAGTGGATTCTGAAGCATTAGTATTTTCTTTCATCGAAAGACCATTTGTTTGCACATTTGAAGCACTTTCTGTCTCTTCTATACGCGTTGACGTTTCGCCACAATACTAAAATACCTTTTTGCTGCTGAGACAATCATTTTTCCCGTAAAGAAATGTCTACTTTTAACGGAATACGTAATGCAGTGGTGAAGTTCACTGACTTTGTAGTTCTGCTCTGGTTTTGAGACGATGAATGAATCGGTAAATGCACGCATCGCCGACTTCCGCTGGAATATATATATTTTTTCTTTTCTTTAATTCATGAACCATATAATAAACAACTTAATAACCTCGACCATTCGGTCGTTACGGGAAAATCTCAAACCTCGGCCTACCGTATTGACCTCGCTATCGCTCGGTCAATACGGCAAGGCCTCAGTTTGAGATTTTCCCGTGACGACCTCACTCTCGGTTATTAAGTAGTTAAAACTATAAGCTTCTAAATAGAAGCTTCATTTTGCCTACCTATCGCTTTTAAGGTCATTCCTCACATTTGCACTGCGCATCCTTACTGCCCATAATTTATGGCGTCATTAGCGCGCGCTCGTGCACGCGCATATTGAAAACATGACGGATTTGCCTTGATATTGAGCTCTGTAAGTTAAAAATGGCTCTAGCGCACCAACGAGCACGGGGACCCCAATTTTTTTCCCAGTCAATGTAATCAATTAATCATAAGCTTTGCGCGAGAAAAGATTGATCTATTGCTGAAAATTGAGTAAATAAGAAAAATAGCAGATACACTGTGGTCTTTACTATTTTTTTGTCTGTAACCACGTCAAGAAATTTGGTTCAAAAGTTTAATCAAGGGTTTAGCTTTCTGTCTGAACCAAACTTAAAATGTTTATTTGTGTCCGACACAATGTATTGACTGTAGTTTAATGCGTGCTCTTATTGGGCTCACAAAGATTTTACGATTACTGGGAATGCGTTCTTATAATAAGCATTAAATAATGCCAAAATGGGGTATTCTCAATGTCTCACTGCTCCTTAATGAGCATATGTACCCCAATTTTTTATTTCAAAATTGAAGCTATCATATGACAAATATTCAGTGGACAAAGTTTGAACAAAAATCTATTGTCACTTTTATTTCAGGGGAATTACCTTAACACCAGCTAAACTTATGACCGGCATTTCCATATAACAAGCTGAGTCCACCCTACATTTGACATGATGTCAACATCGGTATTGTCTAAGCCATAGCTATTACCATTGGATACAGCCTTTGCATCTTTCTTACTCACTTACTAACTGATCGACTGTTTTTCTTATTTTATTTTATTTCAGTCGTTGACTCAATTCGTCTTATTGGTGGTAGTACACCATTAATTGGGAGGGTGGAGGTTTTTGCTGGCGGAGAATGGGGTACAGTCTGTGATGATGGTTGGGATATAAATGACGCTAACGTGGTGTGCAGACAGCTTGGCTTCCCACAAGCTTCCCAAGCTTACCGAGGCGCTAATCATGGTCAAGGAACAGGCCGGATATGGCTTGATGATTTGACATGTTCAGGTGGTGAGTCGTATATCTCCGACTGTGGTAATCGCGGCGGATGGGGAAGTCACGACTGTTCTCACAGCCAAGACGCCAGTGTGAGGTGCTCCTCATCGATACCTTGATCAAATACAATACCTTGATATTAAGAGTGAAAAAAAGGAAAAGCCTTTGAACATTAGATGATGATCGGTTTATTAACCCTTATTGGGAGACTGCGATCAATGGTCGCTAATACTATTAAAATTAATATCGCTTTATTTTTTATTGCTTCTAATGTGCTTGCAGAACATTTTCAATATCAGTATTTGGCAATCAGCCATCTGCCTGTTTAATCGTTCCTAGAGATCTCTACCGTGTTCAACTTTAATATATACAACCTAGAAAATTGTCGTAGCAGGCGAGCAAGCTCTTATGTCGACTCTTTGGAGCACCCTCCTTTTCAGGAGAGCTTCCACACAGGCTCCTCATGCCATTATGACATTACTTCTTCCAACGTTGATGTTACTGTCATTTTATATACATACGACTTTTTTATTCGTTTGTTTATTGTTGGCATCGAAGAGTTCTTAATTGTCTAGTTCGTAACCTAAGCTAAGAGCTGACAACTGATAAGAATGGTTTAGCCATAGCGATAGCAAATTCAGTTCAAACAGGATTTACAGCAGACAGCTATGACATAAAGCCTTTTCTTGAGAGAAAATTGTCATAATTGAACGTCTTAGTTTCTTTAGAAACAGCAAATAAAATTAACTCGACAACGCTGACTTTTTTCTTCAGTTTTAAGAAATAACGTTTTAGCGTGCCGTTTTAAGCATTTCATTACATAAAAAAAGCCCACACAAAAAGAAAAACGGTCTGTTGCTTGTTAAAGCATTTAACAAGGAATATAAGGAGTAACGTAATTCGACGTTGGTAATGATGTCCGATAGTGGTGATAATAATGCGTTGATAATGATGTTAGTAGATGCATTGAGACGTCGAATTACGCTACTTCTTATATGTCTCGTAAAAAGAACAACAGCAAAAAAATATATACTGGTAACTGAAAGGTCGTATCGACCAACGTGAGATAACGATTAGACAGCAATTAAAATAATAATCTCCACTAATAATGCAGTAAAAATTGTTTTGAAAAAAATGATGTATTGTTTACTTCCAGATTACTCTTGTGAAAGGCGATTGCTTAGATCTGTAAGTATCACTTCGCGATTTGAATTGTCTGAATTGTCCAATCAAATATATCTTTATAAATGGCGCAGATCAATTGGGTTGCACGTTAAGTTTTAGCTGACACCAACTTTGACATGAGCACTCGCTTTCCATTTTAATTTTATGAATTAAATGGCAGCATCGGTGAGAATTTTCCAGATCCACAAGATGACATCACCTCTTTTATTGACGAAACCAAAACTGCAAAATACCGAGCCAAACAAATCAAAACATTTCAAGGCATATTTAAGGCAAAGAATAAGTTAGAGAAGCTTCAAAAACAGTAGGCATAAGAACTGAATGCGTGGTTTCAAAGTTTATTTTGTCGGTGCGAAATAACGTTGAACTTGTTGTCAACGATCATTTCCACTTGCCGCAACTATCAAAATAAATTACCTTGCGCCTAATTGCCTAGTTCTTGATAGTCTTCGCCCTGCTTTGGATAATGCATTATTTTTGGTTGGTCACGTCGCCAAGTGAATTCACTATCTTGGATATCACTTTTTCCAAAAATGATAGTGGAATGTACAAAGGTGCAAATTCTGACATACTGCTCAAGAAAAACGTGCCTTAATCGTTAGAATTTCCTTTTAGAAACCATAAACTAAACAAACCTGGCTATGCGTCGAACATCATCCTCGATTCTGATGTAACGGAGCTTTCCCTATTCAGATTCTTTCAGCAGAAGACAGCTTGTTTGAGTTTGCTTTAATAGTTTGCATCGTCTTAGCATCCAAGTGCCAAAGCACTTTTGAGCACAAACTCATAAGGCAACAAGTTACGATAACTTCATGACGTCATGGCTGATATTATGTTTGAACCTTTTTAAGTCACGGCCAAACAATCGCAACATTTCAACGCAAGACGTCGCAACATTGATGACCCACGTTTAGCCTACCTGAAGTCTCAAGGTTGAACGTTATTTTTCAAACATCCAACATGTTGCAACGCGTCACAACAGGGTGGCACGCAATAACCGCCCCATTGCAGATGTAAATATTTCGATTTTTGATACATATGCTATATTGTAAACCTAAAAGATGATGGTGTTTCAATGTTTTCTAAGAAAAGAACGCATTTTTGAGGTCTAGAAGAAATGCCGAAAGCACTCACGTTTGTGCATCCACTAGCAATTTTTCTAGTCCCCAAGCACTATTTTCTTAGAAAACATCGAACACCATCTTCTATTTTGGAGAGAAAATATCCTCCTTCTAAGCCCATTTAAGTTTTTGAATTTAATGATTAATTTTGAATTGGAACTTTTGTTCTTAGTTTCAACATATCAAGTTGCCGTTTTAATGCCGTCGGTAACCTAAAAGACACACCTATGCGCCAGACTAAATAATTGATTAGAAAAGATAACACTCTTGCATTCCGGTCAACATATCATGCTGCTAATGGGGAAGGAGGAATCTTAATTAAACAAGACAGTAAGGTGCGGACTAAAAATTATTTTTTAGCTAGTTAAATACCCATTTCATGTAGTATATGTAAAGAAACAAAAATCCAACTACGAAAAAAAACTATTTCCCTACAAAGCAAACATTCATAGTTCGATGTTTAGGTTTAAGCGTTTGACTAAATTTTGATCTATTTAACAATTTTGACGATCTGTTCTTAAAAAAAAGAACTTTAAGTGCAAAGGCGCGAGGAGCGAGTAGACTTTAACAGGGGTTGCCCTTTGCGAGAAAAAAAAAAAAAAATGCAAACCCGAAAATTTAGAAATGCTTAAAACAGAGATTTGAACGAAAAGAATTTATAATGAACACACCAATTATGTATTTCTTCTTCTATTTGGCCGTTTTATATTTTCTTAACATAACATTTAAAGCCACAAACCTGACAAGAAATTGGGTGTAGTTTTCGACGTTATTGAAACGTTGCTATTCAATCGCTTATTGAACCTGTTGAATCCTAAAAACATTCCATTGTTAAGCTAACGTTCCCTTGCTCTACGGGGAAAAGTCATGCAGGAGTTTTCTACGATTATAATAATAATTTATAAAGGATCAAGTTATAGTTCAAAGGAAATTGAAAGATATTAAGAGCCAGTGCCCATAACTATGGACCAAACAACGGCACAAGTCGAAAAATCGATTTTGCTCATTTTTTGCCCATAGATTGGCCCTAGTTAGTA